AGGATTTATATAACCTTTTTTCCATCAAACACCTTTCATTATTGTATATGCCTGTAAAGTCTATGTTTTAGAGATTTGTCTACAATAATGAACTTATACCAAATGATTATTATACAAGTAGATGTAATTCTAGCCCAAACATAGATTTTCATTTGAACTTTTTTGAAGCAATGGAAATAACCCAGAGACTCTGTTACCATTTTCACAGATACCCTGTAAGTCTGGGACCCCACCCAACTTTGAAATGACCATCCCAATCTCAAGTAGCTTTCCAGAACATAGGAAATGAAGCCTCCTTCTGTAATAAGCAGTAATCTTGTTTGTCTTCATTAATGAGTCGTAAAAATAAGTTTTTGGGGTGGCGGGGGGGGGACTACAGGGCCAAGATTGAGAAGGTAAGTGTTAGATGCACATTCCTCCTTGTGTTAAATCTGAGATTTTGAGTTAGTTTTGAGAATCTTGGTTCTGATCTCGTATTCACCTTTTGTGGTTGTTGTTTTCTTTCTTTGTTTCTCTGTACCCTATATGATTCCTTTAAATGCTGAATTTCTAAAGAGCACTTACTAATATAGTGTAATGGTCTAATAAAAAGCAAGCCTTTACAGGAAGAACATATGGTACATAATAAGAACTGTTCCTTTAATTTTCCATGCTTTAGTGAACAACTTTTCACAGCAGAATTTCACCTACAAGGTGTCCTTAAGCTTGCTACAGTGTGCAACATGTTATAAAACTGTTGCGTTGAGGCACATTAGGATCCTCAGATGTGTCGTTTGCGTAAAGTCCATTGCATCAGTAAGTTTGCAGCGTGTTTCTTTATGCTTTCTTTAAAAACATCAAAAGTTGTAAAAGGTTTACTTCAGTGCATGTAGTAATGTTTTGTGTGTGATTCTTTGTTCCTGTTCTAAACTGTTATTAACCACTGAAGTGAACCTTCTCCTGGGATTGGCCTTTTGGTATTCACAGTGTATTCAAAACCTAATTACAGATTAGTCTATATTTGAGACTCTTGGAACTAATGTCAGAAGACTCAAAAAGAATTTGAGAGTAGCAGTATCATTTCATGTGGCGATAAAGAGACCCAAACCATGAATGAGTGTCAAATCGTGAAGAAAAGAAAAAAGGAAGGAACTTCATTCACTGAGGCTGACGGTTTATGAGTTGGGGATTATAGGAATATTCATGACTCAATCAAGAAGCACAATGAATTGATGTTTGAAATTGTTCATCTTTTAGGTAAACATTCAATAAATGGAAAGTAGACTCTGTATTCACAGCATGTAGAATTGGCTATTTCGGTGAAACAGAAATAGCAGTATCTTAATCCCTTCCTGAGTAGGTTTAATTTATCAAGTAAATCACAAATTTTACAGGAATTCTCCAACTATAAATATTTAGTACAAATATTTAACAGAAAAGGGAGTTTGCTTTATAATTAGTCATGGTAAACTGTACACATTTCTGTGGGAAAGTAATTTCTAATGGTGAAATAGCTAAATACAATAAGATTTGGGGATTTGAAAACACTAATCACTGAGACATTAATTTAGAAGGATCAGAAAGTAGAAAGTTTTAATTGCTAACATTCAACTTTGATTTTTATGGATAATTCAGTTTTCTGTGCAGTGGATAGCATAAGACAGTGCTGAAAACTTATGTCAGAATTTAAAATGAATGAATTCAAATGTGGGGAATAATCCTGCTTCTAATTTGAAGTGGTTTTTTTTTTCCACTAAGGATTCTGTTTAGTGTTGCTCATGTGATTCATGACCCCCCCAGCTTGTCCGGCTCTTCATTGTCCCTGAGGACCTTGCCTCCTACTCCCAGGCTTGCTCCAGCTCCTGTGGTCATGGCTTCTGCCCTCTTGGTCACTGCCGTAATGTCCAGGAAGCCTGTCAAGTTGTTTTGTTTCTTGATAACTGATAGCCCTTATTTTCTATGGTATATTTTTTTTGAAACTATCATTTTTCAATATCTATTGAGCATGTATACTGGGTCAGACATTATTGTTGTAGATACTGAGGATGCTGAAGCTTTGGGGGTCCAGTTTCCTACACATACTGTTCTCAGGAGTTTCTCCAAATGTGTATAGATCTAATCTGCTCAAGAGGTGACAATATCCCTCAGGGGATGATAATGTTTTTTTAGCCATCCCTAGCCATAGCACAACCTAGGAGGTGCTCAGTAACTATTCAGTTCCATAGTTTTTACTAAAACATGTCTTATTTCACATAAAACACAAACTTATAACAAATACACTGGAAAAAATAGCCTTCGTTTTGTTACCGCTTAGAGTACACAATGTGGCAGCAGGTCTAGTGTGTGTTTCTGATTCAGAGGAACAGGACAGGCAACTCTCAGACTTAATGTTCTCAACTTTGGCACCAGTACCTGCAGAGCTGTATGAGGACCAAAAGAAGGTGGACTTTGAAATCACCCAAACACAGCAGACACTTGATAGACTTGGAAGGAGGGTGGGGAGTAAGCAAGGAATGCTGCTCAGAGGCAGGAGATCATCTGTGCCCACGTCACTCCATTAAGTACGTTGTATAGGCAAAGGAATGAACAAAGAAATGAATTTTTTTACTTAGTGTTAAAAGGACTAAATAAAAAAATTTATCACAATTATTCTTTTTTTTAACATTTCCTTCTACTCTCCTCCTACCCCCCCCCCCCCATTACTTCCTAAAATCTTACTAATTGTCCTTTGTGTCATTCTTGAGGTCTCAGGGTATGGGGATACAGTGTCCTGATACTCTCATTGTAAAATATTAGTAAAAACAGCTTTTTATGGGAAGTTTGGAAATTTTTTACTCTGTGGTATTTATATAACAGTTAAATACTCCTTTTTCATTTAGAAAACAACATGGCTTATCTCTAATTTTGGGAGAATTCATATTTGATTTAGACACCTGCCGTCAAAGTGGCTCTTGGTCCCTTTCAATACAAATAGATGTTGCTCTGAAAATCTCTTGTGAGGGATGCTCCTGTACCACCCTCTCACCAATTGTCTGTCCCCTGAGGATGGAAGGCATTGGCAGGGCACAGGGATGGCTAGAGCTGGCCTGCAGCTGCCTGATTGTACTCAGATCCTGGGGCAAATAGAATCAGAGTTCCTCTCCTCATGCAATCCAGCTTCCCAAGTAGAAACAGTTCTCGGTGAATGCTTAGAGAAGCTGCTGCGGTTCTAAACACCTGTTTTAGATTTCCATGTGTTGTGCTATTGAAGCTGGATAATTATTTTTAAAGACTTCGTACATTTCTAGAATTCTATGAGACAATATGCAAAACACAGTTTTCTCCTACCCTTCCCCCACCTTTTAAAATTCTTTAACTGATGCACTGTACTATGCGGACCTCTCTAAGTATTCATTGAGGAAAATCAGTGACGCTGTTTCTAAGCAACTAGATGAATTCATTTTAAAGATAAGAATGTGGCCTTATTTTGAGAAATTAAGTATGCTTACTGGTTTGACAATTGGTTAAAAAATAGTACAAACTAACAAAAAATACAGACTAAACTTCCAGGAGATGGGTTGCAATTATTTTTCCTAATTTGTCTAGTTTAATTTTTATATAAGGAGTTAATGCTGCCTTTGTGAATACTATTATCATATTTTCTCCTTGAGTAATTTGATTAAAACAATAGGGTTTTTTTTCGTATAGGTTTTGTGCTCATCTTAAAATACCAAGAATTAGAACTGTTAAATGACTGGAAAACGACTGTGAAGACTATGCTCTTTATATGCAGCCATGATAGGCTTTGTTGAGTTTCTGTAATGCTAATAGGAAGTCATATAAAGGACATATTTTTTTTTTATTGGCTGCTTATCACATGTGCTGCCTCACTAGTAAAAACGAATACTCTCTATCTTTAATGTAAAAATGTAAATGTTGACTATTAATGTTTTATATGATTTTTCTGTAGATCTAAAGTAGATGCTTTGCATCTTTTCCCCTACATCACCAGCTTTGAACAAGTCACTTCACTTGTTAATTCCCACTGATTGGTTAAATTGTAACCTGTATTTTAAAATAAGAGTTGCATGATTAAGTTAGCAGCAAAGTAGAATAAATCACACTTTTCCATATATAATGCTAGGAGATTGACATGTTCTGTGAATAGTTTGCATTTGTAAAGGAAATCTTTACACTTCATAGAGAATTTATAGATTTTATTTTGGAAGTCCATGAACATCAAAACAAAACAAAGTAAAATAATAAAATATGTAAATCTGTTTTTAGTGGCTCTGTTGTTCTAACCCTTCATTCACAGCTCAAATGGTACATTTTTGCATGTATTTTAAAGTGTTATTACCCTTTTCATGTTTGTTGCAAATATTTTCTACAATTTCTTTTGTCTTTTAATGTTAGGACATTTTGACATATAGGTGTACATTTTAGTGGATCTTTTTCTTTGTAACTCTTTCCATTATTTTATACCTAGAATGTCATTTCCCAGTCAAGACCAGTTAAATACCTGTATTCTCTTCTAATTTTTTAAAATAGTTACATTATTTTATATTTTCCTTTGTTCCAGATATTGCTGACTGTGAGTCTTTGGTCAGACTTCAGAGAACCTGAAAACTTAAAAATGATATACATGATAATATATATACATTTATTTATTTACTAGAGGCCCGATGCACAAAATTTGTTCAAGGGGCTAGGCCCCCGCTGCCTGTCTAATTAGCATATTACACTTTTATTATTATAGATTTGTTTGTGCATTTTTCTGTGTAAGATTCTATAGCTTTCATTAGAATCTCAAAAGGGTCTTTTATAAACCCCATCCCCCTTTCCCAAAAGGTGTTGAGAGCTGCTACTACAGGCCATGTGGATGGATATAAGGTGGTGTGTTGTGATAAGGGCATTTTCTCTCCTTTCCCAAACAGTTAAGAGTATCCCAGACCATTTATTGAATGATTATCTTCTATGATTTGTGATGCCTATGAAAGGTAAATTTGTTTCTCAGTTACTATCTCTTTCTATCTCCACAGAGAAAGTTAGAGAAATTCAAGAAAAACTTGATGCTTTCATTGAAGCTCTCCATCAGGAGAAGTGAATTGTAATAAGTGAGTAAAAGTCCTCTTTCTATACTGTACTGACTAAATGCAAAACTTATACTTTAAACTTATTTTAATAGTTTATCATTCTTCTCGACTATATCCTACTTGCTCCTTAATAGTAATTTGAATGTTATAATTTAGGAACCTCTAAATTTCATGTGTAATATTTTTTTAATAACTTGATTTCCTTTGAGCTGAACTAAAAATATTCTCTAGACCTGGTTTTGAACAGAACAAAGTGAACAAATTAAGATATTTTATAATAGGAGGTGGCTCATAAGTTTTCTGCGTGTAAAGAATTGAACTCTAGCTCTTATTATTTTATTCCCCTTCATTCATATTTGATGGATAATTAGGTATATGTTAACTGCAAATCTCTTTATTTGGCTTGACTAAGGTTTTCATTAATTATTCTTAATCTTATTCTCTTAGGTTTAAAACATTTAGATAAACCTTTTTCCTGTTTAAAGTAACTTAGAATTTAGTACTCTTTTATATGTGAACTCTCTTAGCTAATTCTGTAGTCTGGCATTATAAGTATGTTCCAATTAAAATATTGTATATCGAAAAACTTTTCGTAGTAGCATAGTCAATTGTTAATTATCACTGAAGAATTATAATTAATAGGTCTTTTGCTTTTATGAAGAAGTGGAGAAAGGGAAAATGCTCTGATTAAGAGATTATTACTATTTTTTTAAGAGATTATTATTTATTTAAAATACTAGAGGCCCGGTGCACAAAATTCGTGCACTTGGTGGGGTCCCTCAGCCCTGCCTATGCCCTCTCGCAGTCCAGGAACTGTTGGGGGATGTCCTACTGCTGCAGAGGCAGAAGAGGCTCCCACCACCACCGCTGCGCTCGCAAGCTGTGAGCCGGGCTTCTGGCTGTTGGAGCACACTGACCACCAGGTGGCAGCTCTTGCATTAGTGGGATCAGGCCGAAACCGGCTCTCCTACATCCCCCAAGGGATCCCGATTGCGAAAGGGCACAGACCAGGCCAAGGGACCCCATCAGTGCACAATCAGGGCCGGGGAGGGATGTGGGAAGTTGGCCAGCTGGGGAGGGACCGCGGGAGGGCTCCAGGGCATGTCCAGCCCATCTCGCTCAGTCCCGATCAGCCGGACCCCAGCAGCAAGCTAACCTACCGGTCAGAGCGTCTGCCCCCCTGGTAGTCAGTGCACGTCACAGCGAGCAGTTGAGCAGCCATAGCATAACAGACAACCGGACACTTAGCATATTAGGCTTTTATTATCTACTAGTGGCCTGGTGCATGAAATTCGTGTGCGGAGGGGGAGTTCCCTCAGCTCAGCCTGCACCCTCTTCAATCGGGGACCCGTTGGGATGGGACCTAAACCAGCAGTCGGACATCCCTCTCGCAATCTGGGACTGCTGGCTTCTAACTGCTCACCTGCCTGCCTGCCTGCCTGCCTGATTGCCCTTAACTGTTCTCCCCTGTTGGCCTGATCTCACCCCCAGCTGCCCACTCCTGCTGACCTGATCTTGCCCCAACTGCCCTCCTCTGCCAGCCTGGTTGCCCCCAACTGCCCTCCCCTGCTGGCCTGATCTCACCCCCAACGGCCTTCCCCTGCCAGCCTGATCTTGCCCCCAACTGCCCTCCCCTGCAGGCCTGATATTGCCCCCAGATGCCCTCCTTGGCTGGCCAATTTGGTTCTGATTGATCGGTGTCTATGCCAGTCAGCGTCAAAAGCTCCGCCTCCTAGGCAGCCATTGGTTCCTCACACTTCACACAGATTTGGTTCTGATTGGTAGGTTTCTATGCCAGGCAGTGTCTCTAGGCCTATCAGCAGGGCCTGATCAGAAAGGCAGGGCTCATCAGCAGCCCCAGTGGAGGCCTGGAGAGAGATGGAGGTGTGGCTGCCCGCCAGACAGAGAGAAAGAGAGAGGCAAGTGCTGATCAAAAACTGCCACAGAGGCAATGGATCAATCCCTGCTTCTCTCTTCAGGCCTTTCTTTGGCCCTGATTCGCAGCCCCCTCAGCAGTCAGTCCTGGGACACCATGCCTGCAGCAGAAGCAGTCAGCCCTGGGTTGTGTGGCAATCCAGGGCTGACTGCAGGACTGACTTCTGGTTGGTTGAGCCTCGGTCGTGACTGGTCGTTGCGACCTAGAGTTTTTATATATTAGGCTACTAATAAAAAGGTAATATGCTAATTAGGGCAGATGTCTTCTGGACAAAGCTGCAGCGGCTGCCTGAGGCTCAGGCAAGCTGTGGATGGCAGCTGCTGCTGGCAGGGCCGGCCCAAGGCTCAGGCAAGCTGCCAATGGCGGCTGCCACTCCCCAGGGCCAGCCTGAGGCTCAGACAGTTGCGCCCAGCTGCGAGGCCCTAGGCTCAGGAAGCCATGGTGGTCGCCAGTGGAGGCAGCATCAGGGTGATGGGGATGGCGCCTTTCCCTGATCGGCCAGGTCGCCTCCAGCAGAGGGAGGCCAGACTGCGGCTTAGGCTGGGGGCTGAGGCAGAAGAGTTTAGGGGCGATCAGGCCGGCAAGGGGGCAGTAGGGGCAATCAGACCAGCAGGCAGGCAGAGGCAGTTAGGGGCGGTCAGCCAGGCAGGCAGGCAGAGTGGTAAGGGGCGATTAGGGGTTAGGGGCGATAAGGCAGGCAGGCAGGAGAGCGGTTAGGAGCCAGTGGTCCCGGGTTGTGAGATGTTTAAACCAGCAGTCAGACATCCCCTGAGGGGTCCCAGATTGGAGAGGGTGCAGGCCAGGCTGAGGGACCCCCACCCCTACCCCATGCATGAATTTTGTGCACCGGACCTCTAGTATAGGATATAATCATTTTATTGCGAGCCTTATCCTAAGAAGCCTGTGTAACACAGTCAGAACTGGAAGGAGTACAGAAATGTGAAGGAGTCCCTCCCTAGCTGCTCTCAGTTCAGAAAAGGACCTGCTTTCCTCTGCTGTTGGGGTAACCCGTTTATGAAAGCAGGTGAGAAAGGGAAGTGCAGCTCCGTCCAGCAGTACACCAGCAATGAATGAGAGAGGAAGAAGTTAGAGAGCTTTGGAGTACAGCTTTATTACTTGTTTTGTTGGTCTCATAAGACAGATGAGCAGATGTATACAAAGACATATCTAGAAACTAAATACCAATCACCTTTAACACAAGCCAAAAATAATTCATTGCTTTTAAGTGTCTATGTTTTTAAAAGTTTTACACAACTTCAGTGTATGAAATTTTTTTTTAAATAATAAAGTGTTACGATATCTCCTTTGTCATCACAATTACTAGCAATAGTTAATGTTAGAGATAAACATTTTGACAGCCTTTTTGATTTGGAAATTCTCTTCAGCGCCAAGTTCACTTGATTGTTTTGTTTGTTTGTTTACAAATTTGTTTTGGGGGGATGGGAAGTCATGTATGTCACAGAAACCCCATTAAAAATATAAGCTATGTTTCTGTCTTTTTTAATGAAAAGCCAGCCAGTGCTTTACACAGTAGTCCCATCCCTCAGATGGTCAGTGTGACAGCTAGAGTTACTGTTGCTGCCACAGTGTCTGTCCCAAGTGCAGACCACTGCAATCCAAAGAGCCAGGCGGCGATAGTATTTCTACACAGAAACCATCCCACTTTCTTTGTTCCCTACTTGTCTGTAGTTTCTAAGGCCCTTCTTATCCCTTGGGAAGTATGACTCTGAACTATTACAAATATCTATGAATTAGAAAGATTATAGATTTTAATGTACCTTGCAAATCCATTTAAAAGAATAAATCTGGCAAAACGGTAGCCTTGCTTTATCCTGATCATTTTATAAAAGTTACCAAGCATCTTAAAGAATAGTTTTTCAATGGTAGTTTTAACATGTGTTGAGTTCCTCTGCTTATTTTAAGTAAATAGCTAATTCTGATATTTGCTGAAAATGTTTATTTCCATCACAATCATACATAGATTCGATTTCTCCTACCGATCACTTTTAATGTGCTATGTTTTTACTTCTTTCTCTAAGAAATGAACTTCAGTATTTTTTTATTCATATATAATGTTTGATGAAATTAATATTCATTATAGTAGGTGATATTTTAAATTTAATAAAACTAGCACATTGCAAACTTAGACAGTTAAGCTTTGGTATTTTTGTGATCATTCAGTAATGTCTCCCCAGACCTAAAATTATCAAATGTGTTTATTTTTACAGAACCCTACTTATTATATCATCACCTTGGCATATATGAAGAAAGAAAACTCCAAAGTCTTTTTCCTGCCTTTTTTCCTTCTGCTATCCCACCTTTCCAAACATAAAATAAAGTCATGGGGTAAAAATCATTCATGTGTGTTAGAGGCACCTAAACCACCAGCTGCCTTTTGAACAGAAGAGCAGGGTAAATGGCATTAGCATCCTATTTTATTGTATTGAAGTGACAAATTGGGGTAATGTAAGTGGTATGACCATTAGGTTCAGTCCTTAAAGATAAGAAACTTGCTCTCCTGCCTGTTGTCTCATTTGTGGTGGCACTAGTTCAACTAATTCATTAGCTGATGTCACTCCACGTCAGTTTCTTAGAAAAAGAATGCTAGGTGTTTTAAATAAAACTTACAGAAATTTTCTAAAAGCTATCAACTGTATATAAAATGATGATAACCCGCTAAGTTGGCTGTATCTGTAATGTTCTATATCCAGAAACTCTTTGACCACAATAATTCAGTTCATATTTGTCACATGGAAGAAAACTAACAAGAGAGCCCCTCAAATCAGGTGATTTGGATTATAATTCCACGAACATTCAGTGAAAGATTTCAACTCTGCCTTGACAGTTTAGAGCAGTGGTTCTCAACCTTGGCTGCACATTAGAATCACCTGGGAATCTTTTTAAAATCCTGATTTCTGGGCCTCATCCTCCGGAAATTCTGTTTCTTTGTTATGGGGTGGGGCCAAAACATTAGTAACAAAGAAACAATTTCCGGAGGATGAGGCTCAGAAATCAGGATTTTAAAAAGATTCCCAGGTGATTCTAATGTGCAGCCAAGGTTGAGAACCACTGGTTTAGAGAGCTGCCTGAGAAGCCCAGGCACTAGCAGCTTACCTATTTGATTCAGCTAATGTTTTTGTACTCTCTGTATCTATTTGAAATCCATTCGTTTTGGATGCTGTATACTTAAGCTAGGCTTTCTGTTAACAGTGGTTTTTTTTTTTTTACCTGTTGACAGAGCTATTGGGTTGTGACACAGGATAGGGAAGATTAAGAATAATCAATTGACTAATTACATTTAGACTATTGTCAAACATTTCACCTAGGCATCAGTAAAAGGCCTTCTTTCATCTGACTATTTTAAATAGAAATTATTTCAACAATTAGAATAATGTTGACCATCCCCCTCTTAACTGAACATTTAAAGGAAAATATAAAATTTAATTTATTGCAATTCAATTACAATAACATCCTCACAGCATTTTCATGTTTTATAAATATTTCTTATTGGCTAAAGAGCTTTAAAGCAAAGAAATAAGCCATTTTTTATTTAAAGTGTCTTTCTCATTTAACTCTGCTCTTTGCTGCCATCTCATTACCTTTATTATTCTAATAAAAAGGCCCATTGTGTGACAGTTTTTATTTTAGAGTGTACTTAATTTTACAATTTTTTTGGAATTATGTTTTGGTAACAGTTCCTTGCCACCCGGCATTTTTTTTTTTTTTTAATTTAGCATCAATACATCCTTCATCATGATCTCTCTTAAGATCTGATACTTAATATGTAAGTTTGGAGGATAATCACAAAGGACAGAAATGTAGAGTCCAATGAACGCTTGTTTTATACTGTTTCCTGAGTGTGGCAGACCCAGCTTTCAGCAGCTGGCAGCATGTGCATTGTTATTTGGTAGGGGAGTGGTCAAGAACATTTCCTGTCTTAGATTTAGGGATCCTGGGTGAAAGGGAAGGGGGCTCCCCTGTGAGATGACCTTCCTAGTTAACTTCCTCCAACTAGTGCTGGCCAGTAGGTAAACCCCTCATTGAAGCTGACATCATGCAATTATTAATTCTTTTGTAGTTGTACAAGAACTTTACAACTACAAATCTATTTCTGAATCAAAAAGGAAATAGGACCATATTTATTTCTAGATAGGAAAAAATGCCCTCATTTGCATTTCCACTGTTTTCTTCCAAGAAAAAGGCTGATGTTAAGTATTTTTAGCCCATCCCCTTGTATAAATTTAAGAAAGGGGGTAGGGTGACCTTATTTCTTTGAGATCAGTATTTGTAATTTAAATATATAAATAGATGATAAAAATGAATATTATTAAAAATCCCATATAGGAGTCCAGACATTTTTCCATCCTCCTCAGTAATATGACATATCTCATGGATAATATATATATTTTCTTTTTTGCTGATCTCATACTAAGCATGCTTTTTTTTTTTTTGGAAGCTACGTACTTATTAAAAGCAGATGTTAATAAAATAAAATTATGATTCTCAACAGTAAATCCTCTGTGTTGTGTCTGTAGTTCAAAAATTACAAATGATTCCGATTTAAACAAATCACTTCAGAAATCCAATGTACAGAAGTTAAATTCCAACTAGACTAGGAATTATTTGTTTTTCATGTCGGGATTTGCCAGAAAATAGCATGAACAAAGCTGTGTATGGAAGACTGAACAACCGGAAATAAATTATATCTAAAATGTACTCAGTCAGGGTCTCGATTTAAACAGTCAGCCTGGAGGCAGTGCACAGTGGGAAACAGGTTCTTGTGCTTTGTGGCTGAACCATCTGAGCTGTACTTGTAGGTGGAGCAATCGCCCTTTTTTAGTAGCTTAATTGTCTGCTCTCTTTGTATTATCCCCGTTTTCCAGCCTTTGCTCCAACAGACTCCTTCCCCCAACAGCCTCCAAATGCAAATGAATAGAGTAAAAGTGAGTAGGGAACATTGCAGAGAGTGGAGCTTCCTAACCTTAAGATTTGGGAACTTTACATAGGCTAACACTCAGGATGTAGCTTTAAAAGATAAATCCCTTATTTAGTTAATCATTTTATATTTATTTATTTTAGATTGATTTGTGTGTGTAAAGAAATATGGTATTTTAGTTTTCCAGTAAAGGGGATCAGAGTAATGCGTTTTATCTCAGTTCTCTAGGCTGAGTATAAGCTATAGTCTCAGGCCCTTTAGCCGCATGGAAATGTGCTTACAAATATGCTTACCTTTTGAACAATCATGACTATGTTTAAATTCTTAAAACAACCTTGTTTTTACTTGCCACTGTGAGTGAACTTTGTATTTTTTTTAAAACCTTCATACTACATGTAGATGTTATTGCAACTTATCTTTTGCCTGTGCCTGTGGCTTTCACCCACAAATGCTGTATGTTGTACCTATTTGAAGGTCATTTGTGTAGATTAGTAATTAAAGATCTTATCCAAAGAGAGCATCTTTTAAGAGTTCTCTGTTTTAATGAGGGAGGGAGGAAGAGAGAGACAGAGGCACCTCTGCACCTACAGTCACATTGGACCCCGCAGGATAACCAAATTCATGGTATAGCAAGTCTCAACGTGGCTCTTCTATCTCTGGGTGCATTAATTTCACGGGCCTCACATTTCACAGTTGTAATTGTATGGTCACACAATGCCTTCTTTCGTGTCTTGATACTTGTCAAAACATTTTGGTGTTGTTTTTTAATAAAATATATCAAAAATGTTTTTAAATTACATTTTGCTGCGATTGCCAGCATTTTCACTAATGATGCCAACATGTTCAGTTAGTTACACATGAGGCTTACTAAAAAGTCATAACTGAGTCTTAACACTGGAAGTAACCTTAAAGATCACTGAGTTCTGGTTATCAACTGATTCCCCCATTTCTCATATTCTATTCCTCCTAGAACTATGTTCATAAATGATGCTTATTAATATTCGTTGATCATTCGATGTGTGAAATGAGGCATAATGTGGACGTGCCTTCTCCAGGATTCGAGTCTATTCTGCTGCTCACGGTTGGAGTGACACAGCAACCTAGCAACAACGTGGAAATGAGAATTTTAACCACTTGTCAGAAAATACGGTCATGGTTTACATGATGTGGCCCTTGCCAAAGCTTGTGAAACTGCCAACATTTGTGAAATATGTAGGGAACAGGTTAACTCCATCTTCTTGTTTTGCTCAAGTTTATCTGTGAATTAGGCTAAACCATCAGACAGCAAATAGCCTGGAGTTGCCTTTACCTACCTCTTAATTTATCTGTCATGCCCGGGGCTTTCACCCACAAATGCTGTATGTTGTACCTATTGGAAGAAAATGCACAGTATCCTTTGGAGAAGTAACACTCAATGACATGTCTCTGTTATCACTTAAGTTCATTAAAGAACAGATTCCTAGATAATTCAGTGACAGCTAAGTTTCCTGCTCTAGATAAATGTATATGCTGCTTTCCTTCTGTTAAAGAGAACTCAAGACCTTACCTGTTTCTTTCCTTCAGCTGCCAGCAGATGTTGGAATTAATTTACCTCTTAACAGATGAGCCTGTCCATTTTTCTGCTCCCTTAGTTGTGTTTCATTTTTGTTTTTAGTCTCTTTCCATGCATCTTCACATAAGTCATTAACGGAGTGCAGTGCTTACTCTTTCTCCGTTAAGAAATGTCTTTGTCTACTAGAGGGCTTATGGTGAAAGTTCTCACACCTCCAGTCAGTGACGCTCCAGGTGCAACGCAGCCAATACCCTGTGTACTAATCAGTTTATAATATAAAAAACCAGAAGTCACCTAACCTATGCCTTAAGAACACCCCCAGTGCCGATTGTGAACCCGCCTCCTAGCTACCCTGAGGAGCACTAACAGGAGAAGGAGGGTCCTGATGTTTGTTGAAAGAAAAGGTACACAGCTAGATGCCTCAGCCTGCAGCCATTCCAGGAACAGTAACACACCTAAGGGCCCATTCTAAAGAGAACTCAAAGAAGTTACTGTCACTAACCACTTACATTTTGAGACCCATCTACAGATCCCTCTGGAGCCTTTTTAATGGTCAGTATCATATCTTGCCTAGGCTTGAGCCCATGAAACTTTATTTTCCATTTAAATTTTGAAATCAATGAAATAACTTAAATCTAGAGCAGCAATTTCAACCAGTGTGCCCCAAGATTTTTAAAACATGCAACAGCCGATTATTTAGTCAGGGGCACTGACGTATTTTCCCTGAGAATGTCAAATTTTAAAAATGACAGCCAATACCACAATAGCCATCCTGTATGGATGAATAGTAATTATACCTATTTTTTGTCAGATCTGCAAAAAATACATTTTAGTAATGAGTTTATGTGTGCCGGGAGATGAAAAAGGTTGAAATTCACTGCTCTAGAGCAAAGGAACCAGTATGTCTTGAGTTTTGCTTCATTATCACAGGCAATGTTATCCATTATATAGGTGACAAAATAGGCTTGTCCAAGGTCATTTTATGTAACTTGTCCAAGGTCATTCTAGTGAGTAGCAAAATCTAAATTTAATAACAAGTCTGGTTACAAACTTAGGCACTTTCCAACATATGCTTTCTCTCAAAAATACCTTTAGGAAAATGAATATATTTATGAAAATAAATAGTGCAGCAATACACCTAGAAAACGCAGAATGAGCTAACTGCACAGAAATGGCCCAGGGTGGTTTTCTCTAACTATGAGACTGTGGTGGCATCACTAGAATGGAAATAGCAGAGATGTGAGGTTTCGTGGGGCCCTGGAGGACAAGGCAATAATTGAGATTCAGGGCTCTAATCTATCTACCTCAGACCTCAAGTCTTATGAGTAAAAATGAGGACTTTGTGATTTTCCCTCAACATGTCAATCATGTTACCTTTCCCATCTTACCTCTGCAGATTCTCTAAATCTTTTTTAATTAGCCCAACTCTGAAGATACAGAATTTTTACTCCAGTGTTTAATATCTTTATTATGTTATTTTCCCAAAATTTGCCTTTTTATTTCTTATAAATTGAACACATGAAAGCTATGAGGAGAAACCTTTACTATGTCAACTGAATTTATTTTCAGGAATATCATATATAGTCTTCATTTAATTTTTTGGCCCTGACAGTTCTTAGTTTCCCAAGACCATTGGAATGGAAATAGGTACTTCCCAGCCTACATTAGCATGAGTGCCTGTTCATGTATGGGAACATCCTAATACAAATGCTTAATTGAACATCCCTGCACTTTGCTGCCTCTACCATACCCAAGACCCTTACCAGCCCAGAGCCACTCCCATTGTCATTCATTTAGATTTCTCTTTTTAAGTATTTGAGACATTTACATGCTTGCTAATTATCCAAGTGCTATGGTCATAGCTGAATCAGGATTGTGAGTCCGTAGCTCCGCTCACTTCCAGAGCACTGGATGGGTGGACGGGGCATTTGGATCTCGCTCTCCCTTGGGCGCCCCTGTCAGTGCGGTTCGCCAGCTGTGTGCCCTACAGTTGGCTGTGCTTTTGATGTGCAGATACTACAAGTTGGTCACAAACCTGTATACAATGGCCCTGTTCTGGTTCATGTGAAAATCAACATCCTTTTTTGTGTTCCCGGGTGACAGGATGCTACAATACTATTAGCATTTGCAAAGAGTGTGCTCTGTCCAAGGGTGTAACCGCAGATCGTGTGCTGCTCAGTTTGTGTTTCTCTATTATGTGAGAGACACAAAGAAGCTGAAGGCAGGCAAAGGCCTGTCAAATCCTGTAATGTAGCGCTCGACCCCCAAACTCCACTTGGCCTCCACGCATCTCTTGTTCCCGGTCCCACCCCTTCCCCTGAATGGGCGCTGAGGTAGGTAAATGAATTCAGGGGCCTGGGGGGCGGGGGATTCCTTTCTGACCTCATTCCTGTACCATTTGTTTGCTGGCTTGTAGGGGGAGAGGAGGACATTTGGGGATCCTTTGTGTCAAATCATTTTCTTGCAGGTTGGGGAGTTAATGGTAACTTTGTCTGAAGCCAGCCGAGCAGAAAGCCTCCACGGACCAGGCGTGGCGCGCTCAACCTCCTCAGACTACAGGACGAGAGTGTGGAAACGGACATTTCTAGAGCAGATGGGTGCGCGGCACGTCTGCCTGTCCAACATCTGGTGGTGGGAAGCTTAAATCTTCCCGTGTGTATGAGATAGAGCTGTTCTTCCTTTGAAAATAGTTTCCTCTTTCTGAACCACCTTGGCTTTTATGCTGATGCCTGTTGTTCGGACAATCTTTTGTGCAGCCATTTGCATACAGTATATTCTGAAGTATTTCTCAAAGCCTTCAACCACCTGGCTAAGAGTATGGTGTGATTTATAGAGGTGTGTTATTTTTTACCCTCAGACTTACTTGTTCATCTTCTAGACAGTGAATTGGAGTTTTAGAACAATCCTCTGGTTTTGCTAAAAAGCAGGAAAGAGGCCCAAAATAAAGCAGCCGTGTGTTCAATGAGTAGCTAGAACCCTTGCCTTCTGATTCCCAGGCAATTGCTGTTTCTGCTCCATAAAGATTGAAATCAGGGACCACGAATTCAAAGCTTCCAAAACCAGGCATTTGTTTTAAAAAAAAGGCATGGGGAAGAAGTTATCGTTGGTGAAGGATGTCAGAGAAGTTTGAGAGGTTGTGGGTTCAGAGGGCATTGGGAAGCTGTAGCTAAGAGCGTTCCTGCTTCCCCAGGAATGTTTGCAAATAGAAGCTTTGCCGGCCCTTTGGGGCACCTCACCACACCCAAGCCTCGGGAACCAGTAAGTCCCGTCCAGGGACACCCCTGACTGCCAGGAATCAGCTCAGATCCAGCAGCTCCTTCCTGCCGAGGGTGAATGAAGGGCATGGGCCTGGGTTCATCTGCACCGGAACAGGGCAGGGCAGAGACAGAAATCCAAAGTAAGCTTTTAAAGAGACGATTGATTGGCTGCCTGGGAGAGGACACAGTGTGAATTGTATGAATTTGGCTTCTGCTCATGGCCAGGCAAAAAAGGGATTGGCTCATTGTTTGCTAAGAGTCCTGCTCTCAGAACTGTGCTTTATCTACCATGTGGGTTTTGGATTTTGGGATTTTTATCATCTTTTGTACCAATCCTATCTCTGCACACATCCAATGGTCCACGTGTCTCACCTCTGTTAGCGCCCCGGCCTTCATCCTCAGCTCTCTCCCATGCAGCCTCCACACTCCTGCCAGAATGAAGTATCTGAAATGCCAGTGTGATTACGTGATTACAGCTGTCTCCAGGTAGCTTTCAAAATAAAGTTCAAAGTGTTTAGCACATAGCCCTTCGTGATATGGGATCTGCCCATCGTTCTAAGAGCAATCCCAACCATCCCCTTGGCCCCACATCCATATCCAGCATCAGAGACCCTTTCTGATGAGATGGGTGATGATATTCATGAATGGGGCTTTTTTTTATATTGCAAAAAGAAATGCGTTGTAAGGTCTGCATAACCAAGGAAACCA